ACGATTTGCCTTTCTCGTTTCCTTTCGCAAACCAGAACTTGTTTTCATTTTACTAACAAAATAAAATCACCCATTCCAAGGTTTTATGAAGAACGTAAATGTGCACGACGAGTAATTTGTTTCCTTTTTTCTTTCTGAACTTTCTGAACTACTAGAAAACGAACTGGACAGTTCAGCCACATCAGATCAATAGCGTTGTTTTCCTTGGCGTTGCTTATGTTGTGGTTGCTTAAGCTCCTCAGTAAATCAGTACAATCGACCGCGTATCATGCATCAACTAGTTTCAAAATATCTAGTAGATTATTACAAACTGGCTGAGAGTGTTCACAGAATGTCCTGATAGACATTGAGGAGCTTTTTTTGCACAGAACTCAAAGTTTTTAAAACACTACAACACGATCACTGCGACATTGATATCACTCTCAGTGAAGACGTGGTACTTATGACATAGTCTGGTGCTATTCATTGCAATAAAAGGCGAACAATGTTAAAAAAAAAAAAAAAAAAAAAACTAATGTAAGCTCATCGTGATAAGATAATCTACGTAACACCTACACACGAAAACTTGTATGGGTTGTCTCTAATTCTAAGACACTCAACTGCCATTTCAATAACTTAGAGCTTGATATTGAATTCGCTCGAAACTAAAATGTTTACATCTAATCACGATCAATCACAACAAGCGGAAATAACAAGAGCCAACCAAAACTCGATTTAACATTTATTTTTCTACTGCAGTTCATATGAATTTATTTTCGTACGCCTATTATCGGTCATCCATGTTTCAATCGTTTTGGTAAAGAAGGCCACACCCGGCAAACGTAAAATAACCCGGTTTAGTCTGCAAAAAAATGTTTGCCATCAGGCTCGGGTTTGGCAAGATCTCCAACCATGCCGGAAAAACTTATACATTAGTCCATGTTTTCAAAGTGCCTATAACCCTTTTTTTATATATTTTATCAAAAAATTCCAATTGTACATGCATTAGATTGAAAAATTTTGTGGTGGAATATTTGATAATTTGAGTGTACGTTGCGTCTGTGACTTCTATAGACAATAACCAACATTTGGCACGAAAATATGCACCGATTAGACATTTGTTTTGAGAAGCGGACAGTTTTCCAAGAAAGAAGCCTTAGCGAAACTGTGAGCTTCGACGAACAGAAAATGGGCAAGGAAAAATATTTGCTCGAGGCTTTGGTCTGATTTAGTCACAATATTTGGTAAAATTACTTTAGAAACCATAATAATAATGTAAATGTTTATAAACTATAATTTATGTCTAACAGCATGTTTTCGTATACAATAAATCAATACTGGATGGACGTCACATTTGTAATGGCATTTTGGTGATATCAACCGCTGTAACTCATAGACGCAACACTTAAGAAAATAATACTTCTACCACTCAAGGCTAGCAAAACAGGAACGTGCTTCCAAGAAGAAAATGGCCAAATGCTTATAGTCTGAATCTTTTTGCGTGCCGATATGTGCCAAAACATTCAAAATTGACACGTTTGTTCCTCACGGCTAACGAACTGACCCTTGCGAAATCACTTTTGGAATTCCTAGGAATTCCTAGGAAAAAAATCCTAGGAATTCCTAGGAATCGTAGGTGTGAATTTTCACGGTAAATTCGGACTTGGAATTCCCAGTTTAAAAAGTTCTGGTTCTAGATTCCTAGAAATTCCCGGAAATTCCAAATGGAAATGAAACTAGACTTGGAATTCCTAGGAATTCCTAGGAATTCCAACCTACAAGATTTTAAAGCACAAAAAATTCTTAGAAATTCCCAGAAATTCCTAGTAATTCCTAGGAATTCTTAGGAATTCCTAGGAATTCTAGGAGTTTACAGGTTTAACATCATGTCATCAATCAACATCCAATGCCAGGATAGTAAAGTATACGCAAATTTAATGATTAATTACCAACTGGAGAAAGCATGGAAATTGCATTTAAACAAGTTTATGATAATAATGTTCAAAATCACATCTTATGGTACATGTTTTGTTTTTTTGAGTCATTATTGAAAAATTGTGGGACACATTTGTAACTGGAATAATACAGCAAAAGAGTCTTGATTGAATTAATTTTACAGCGGGAACATATATGTAAAAAAAGAAAAAGTCAGGTCAACTTGCTTCCAGCAAACTTATCTGCTAAGCCCTTATTAAGCCGCTCCTTTAATTCAGGTCTCAAACTGAGAACAAAATAATGAACTGGAAACTAAAATGCTTATAGTACATGGCGTATAAAAATACTTGTTCATGACTCTAAAGGGAAACGAAAAATAGTTCGATTTTTAGTGGGGAATTCGAGTTATCGGGGTAAATTTCAGTGAAATCTTGATCAAGAGAAAGCAATTTAGTTCGACTTAGCGGGGAATTCGAGTTATCCGAGTTCGAGTTATCGAGGTTCTACTGTATTAAATCCGCCAGAATCTGATCGAGTATTAGCTTATTCATGTAGAATTCCATCAACCATTTGCAACAACGACTAC